ATTCTTATTAAAGGTAATGTGGTGTGTGGCTCCAGAATCTAATATCCACAAGTCAGTTTTTGCTTTGAAACAACCACATGAAAGTTTGCCATAATCAATAGAAGAGTTACAAGCAATTATACCTGCAAAGTTAGCAGCTCCATTAACAGTGAATGGATCCTTCATGTTTCCTCCTTGGAAGGCTTTTAACATGTTGATTAAGTGATTGTACTGTTCTGTCGACAAGGTGTTGAGATGTCCATTTGGAGAAGGAAGATCATCTCTCTCACTCGAACAAGAGGGCTCTCCATGAACATTTGCTGCAGTACCTTTTCCTTTATACCCTCTGTAATTGGAATTGAAATTGGAGTTATTGGGATTGAATGGATTTTTCTGAGTATTGTTGTTGTTAGGTCCTAGGCTAGAAGATGGCTTATCAGGATAACCATGCAACTTGTAACATTTGTCTTTCGTATGGCCCAACCTCTTACAATGATCACAAAAAGGTCTTGTTCCTCTTCCCCCAGTGTTCTGCGTGTAGTTAGTGTGGAAGCCTCGTCCACCTGAGTGTCCTCCAGTATGTCGCGACTGTCCAGTTGAGGAGCTTGCACACATAGAGGGTGAATCTGCAAAAAGTTGATTGTTAGGCTTAAACTCTCTTTGCTTCTCCTCCTGAATTAAGAGAGCAAATGCCTGGCCCATAGAAGGCAATGGTTTCATCATGAGGATACTGCCACGAATGATAGTGTATGCTTCATTGAGGCCCATAAGAAACTGGATTAGTCGTCTATCCTGTTCTGCCTTATGCATAGTGTCCTTGGCACCACAAGTACACAAACAGCTGCACTGATTTTTCACACATAAATTGCTGAGTTCCTCCCAAAGTTTCTTCATCTTGGTATAGTAGGAAGTGATATCTAGAGATCCCTGACTTAGATCGTTAATCTCCTTTTGGATCTGATTTAACTTGGCACCATTAGTTTGATCATATCGATCCTTTAGCTCACTCCATAATTCCAGTGAATCAAACACGTACTCGACACTATCAGCAATGTGTTTGCTTAGGGAATTGAGGATCCATGAAGTAACCATGGCATCACATCGTTCCCATTGGCGATAATTGGGAGAAGTCGATAATGGTTTCAAGCACTCTCCGTTGATGAAGCCCAACTTGTTCTTCACTGACAGCGAACGGAGAACACCTCTCTTCCATGAACTAAAACCAACTCCATCGAAGGGAACAGGGACCAACACCGCACCTGCACTATCAGAAGGATGAATATACAATTGACTTCCTACATCAATGGGAGTCGGAACAGAGGATTCAACAGCTGGATTGACAACTTCAACCATTATGAGAATTGAATAGATCGAAACACAGAGATATGAGATCGAGAGAAATCGAATCGATAGAATCGTGAATCGTGAAGGGAAAAACAGAGAAAACACAAAGGAAAGAGAGAAGAATGAAATTGAGGAAGAGAAATGCCGTCAAGGCTTTGATACCATGTTAAATCTCGCTATTCGAGCTCGAGAATCACCATTAATGGTGAATGAGAAGCTACTGCAACAATGCCAAGAGAGAACGACTTTGGATTCTTATTTATGAAAAAGTAGTTTTGGAATGAATACAAGCTATCTATTTATACACATTCTAACTCTAACTAACTATGGTTAAATAGCTAACTAACTATTGTAACTAACACTCACAGTAATATAACAAACTATATACAATACGTAATTCTTAGATCTTAATAGTTTGAAATCCAGTTTGCTGTTGCAGCTATTCCTCCACAAACCCCTCGTAATCTTAAAGGGTATATCTCTGAGTTAACAATCCATGGAACGGTACCCATTCCCGGAGAGAAGAAAAGGATGTATAACACTAGCCCGAGTAGGGCTAGCCATCCATATCTACTAGGGCATCCTCTTGTGTACCATAAACTATCTTGATCATGACAAGCATCCTTAATAGTATCATTAGACATGAGACATGCCCCAGGCAGCAACTACAAAAAGAAAAAATTAAACAAACTTGTGTTAAGTTTACACTGTATAGAATATCAAGATTTTTAGCATAGAAAATATTCATGTTTCACTTGACACGCTCCTTAAAAAGTAATTAATAAATTGATAAGCTTATTATATCACCCTTTATGTTCCTTGTGTTCGAAAATGAATAGTACTTAATTATAATGATAAAACAGGTATAAAAAGATTAATTATTTCTGGATTTTCCAAACTGGACAAATAAAAGTGAATGTATATTTTTAGTACAGTGGACAAAGTAAAACTGGACGGAGGAAGTAGCATATTAGGGTTCATTATTACCTTATTTTGAGGTGAAGCACAGAAGCCACAACTAGGAGAAGCTTTAAGACACCTAGTACAATCCCAAGAACTAGCAGAAGCAGCATCATGGTAAGCAGGACAAGTGAAATTTGCTGCAAAGTGAGATGTCTCCGCCATACTAACTGCTGGTGAAGTTGAGGTAGCCTCATAGAACACTGCTGATAGAAACCCCAGAGAAATCACAACACCACACAAGCTTATTATAAGAATCTTCTTCCTTCCAGTCCTGTCTATAAAATATATGCTCACAATCGAGCCAAAAGCGTTTAGCCCCGCTGTAACAAGTGATAGAAGGAGAGCTGTCCAATTCGAGGCAATTCCTGTTGGGTTTTAAAGGTGTGAATAGGAAATG